AGGAAACATCCCCTTTACCAAGCCCCCATTGAATGTACTATTCTGCCTCCCATTTGATCTTACAAAGCCTTTTCCACACAAAGGAGTTAGAAGATTTATAGTGACACACCAAAGGATTGCATATTTTACAATATTTCACATTCATAAACTGCGCCCACAAACTATCATTAGAACAAAAAGCATACCATAATTTATGAGAAAAAGCATGAACAGTATCAAGAATATTCTTGCAACTGAATCCTCGTTCATGCCTTTAATGGTGTCCCAATTCTCAATCTTAGAAGGAGACTGAGTAAGAAACCGATTATCCTCCTCCCCAATCAAGGAAGGAATCAAATTAGAATTTGCAATTGGAATAATCAAAGTAGTACTATTAAAAGCCTCTTTAAAATACTTAACACCAGAATTAACAATTAAATCATTCGTATCGTAGACATCACCATTATGATCAACCAAGGTATGAATATAACTTTTAATCCTATTTTGTTGGCCAAAGCATGAAAAAAGGAGGTATTCCTGTCCCCTTCTAAAATGATCTTAGAGGAAGCCTTTTGTCTCCAATAAATTTCTTCCTGATTCTACAATTGGAAAAAGTGAACTTTAGCATTGTCAAGATTGGCAAGATTAACATCATTAGAATTATCAAAAAGTAACTTGTCCAGATCCAAAACCATTTGTTCAGGTTCCTTAATATTGGCAAAAACATTTTTGTAAACACGTTTATTCTACCATCTAAGAACTTGTTTCAACCTACTCAACTTAGCCCACAGACGAAGCATGCCTTTAATGTTATTATTAGAAGAGATAACGTCATTCCAATTAGTAGAGATAACACTTAAAAAACTAGAATGAGCAATCCACATGTTTTGAAATCTAAAAGCCAAAGAACCACTGACTTTATTATTAGAAATATTCATAAGGGAGCATGATCGGATAAGGTTCTACTCAAGTGATGGACTTGAGTCATAGGGAAATCTTTAATCCAATCATTATTAAAAAACAATCTATCAAGTCTTTTCCATATCGAACCTCTACTCCAAGTGAAAGCACTACCAGAAAAACCAATATAAAAAAGATTACAATTGGAAATCATGTGATTAAAATCATCCATGGCATTAAAGTTTGGAGGGTTGCCCCCTATCCTTTCAGTGGCACTAGAAATGATATTAAAATCTCCCCCAATGCACCACGGACCATTAGAATTAAAAGCAAAATCATATAAGAGGTCCCAAAGAGGGGCCCTACCCAATCTTAATACAATCAGCATATACAAAAGATGCATTAAAAATAAAATTCAAATAAACAATTTGGACATGAACAACCTGCTGAAAATCAGAAATAATGGTGATGTTAAGATCACTCTTCCACATAATCCAAATTTTATTCGAGCAATTACCAAACAACATATTAAAGCCCAAACGAGAAGCAGTAGAGGAAAGTTTATCAGCAGAAATAAAAGGCTCAAGTAAGACTAATATTTGAATGTTATGCACACGACATAAATTTCTAACACGGGTCTTATAATCTGACCCCCAGATCCCCCTCACATTCCAGATAAGCGTTCTAATCATTGGAGTGTTTAGTAGAAGCTTGAGCTCTAGTAGAACGGGGTGTATCGGGAAAAGGAGCTTTACCATTTTTCTTTTTCTTTTTTTGCACCTTAAAAGCTTCTTCCTCTTCATTAGTTAAAGTGTTAGTACCAGGAGAAGCCGATGAGGAGTTGTTGTTCGAACAAATCTCATTCTCCTTAAACACCCCATTCTCGTTATTACCAATAAGAACCTTAGAGTTATAAGCATGATTTTTAGGAGGGATAAATTCCCCTTCCTCACTATCATCAACCTTATCATTATCCACATCATTAATAACTATATTGTTAAGAGAAGTAAGATTTTTATCAGTTCTAAGCATAGAATCTACTGAAATAAATATGTTAGGAATAGTATCACCTTCTTCACTAGATTTCTCTTTTGAAGCAACTTCCAAGGGAGTAATAGTGGTAGTTTTTTCCACAGCCATCCCATTATCCAAACCAAAAAGATTTTCATTACCAACCGTCTCAACTGGGTTAAGGATCTCATTCTGATTCAAAATTTTTGGGACAGCCTCTTCCTTCGAGATTTCCTTACCCAATGAGTTGTTGGAAAGTATTTTAAGCTCCGGATGTCCATGGGTTTGAAAGCATGTCCATGGGTTTTGCAGTGGTTACAATCAGAAATAGCATGTCCATGGGTTTTGCAGTGGTTACAAAAATCATGAACTTTTTCAAAATCAACTTTTTGTAAATAGCCAAAGGCTTTAGATCTAACCCAAACTTCTTTCGCATGCTTTTTAATGATATCTACTTCAACTAGAAACCTAGCAACGGATGGTCAGGTTCTAGATGTTGTAGCTTGATCGGTTTGTAAGGGACGGCCGAAAATCGAACCCAAAGCATGAAGAACTTTTGCATTGAAAAAATGAAGTCTCAGATTAGGAAATGATATCTAGATTGGAACTATCGGGCTTTCTTCTTTAACATCGAAAAACGACGTCCACTTTAAAATTCGCATTTGACAGTTTAAAATTAAATAAGATCTACGGGCAAAAACACGACTATAATCTATGTCATTTGATAATTGAACCGCGACATGCTTAGAATCTAAAAGCCCAACCGAATAAAAACCAGACAACTTTAAGTTACCGAAAAAAGCACGGATCGAGTCCAGATTTGGGCGACGGAGGACAAATTTTCCAACAAGAGTGAAACGAAAAGGCGAAGCCAGTTTCAAAACTTCATCGTCAGAGAGAAGAATAGCCGGAATACCATTGAAAGTAGTTTGAGTTAGAGATGGAAGGGTATCACCTGCCGAAGCTCCAGCCATGACATCTTTAAAAGATCGCGATTTAGGACGAGAGGGACTATCAGGATCCAAGCTAAAAAAGCCCTTACTTGAGTCTTTTCTTTCGGGCGCAACATCACCCCAAGGCGTCAAGGAGGAACCCCCGCCATAGCGATCCTGCCCAAAAAGGGCAAGAACAAACAAAGAGAACACCAGCGACCGAGAGTAGAAGGAAACCACGAGATCTTGCCAGAGAGAGATCGAGAACTGGATGGCCAGGAGAAGGAAACCCTAAATCGCTCAGAGCGGCGCTAGGGCGAGCGAAAAGGTTTTAGTAGTCTAGAGCCTGGTGATCAAACTTCTTATTTAAGATAAAGTGCCAAATTAATTGTCTGTGCAACGTCCTCTAAAGTTGGTTATAAAGTTGTAGGAAAAATAATTTTACTATTTTGTTTGTAAAAAACAGCTTTCTACCTCATAAAGTTTAGAAAAAAAAAAATTATAGTCAAATAAAATTATGACTATTATCTAAAAAGTAAAACAATGTAAAAATTATTCTAAATAGATCCTGAGTTCATTATTTTCTTGTATTAAAGCAAGTCTGTCAGCTTTCGAGTTAATAATATGTTAGATGAGGACAACTGTTATTAAAATGCCGTAAAAAGCTTTTGATTTTTCGGATGCTATATATGCTATCTAAAGAGCTACTTATATTCAATTAGTTCAGTGTTACTTAAGGTCATGTCATATACCATTGACTGAATAGTTGTCAACAGACAATATGATTTAACCAAACCTTTTGCTCTATCAGAAAGATAAAAAAAGCTACTTTGCAGAAATACTTTGAACTGAAAGAAGCAGCTTTAAGAATTTGTAGCATGCCCCATGAAAGCGAAGACAAAAAGAAATGCAAAGGCAGGGTTTTTATTATTTTAATTATCCTATCATAGCATACTTTATAGAAATCTCGCTTTGTTGGTCAAAAGATTATTCTGTGCGGATATTAGACACAGCTTATTGTCCAGAGGCCAATCAAGTGCAGCCACATCATCCAGTAACAAGCTCAATACTGAGCTCGGTATCGAGCAGCACCGAGCCACAATACCACGTAGGGGTGACGTGATGCATTTTCATTGGGCTCTAGACGGCGTTCGACATGCACACACCGTTGGTCAATCTTTCTAGGAAGGGTTGTAGGCTTGTAGGTGCACGTTCTAAAGATATGCACTCAGTAAAGTTTTGATTGTAAGAATGAAGGCCACGGTATTAAATAATTTGGAGCTCTCAATCAGCACCGATGCTAATAGCTTTAAGCGAGATTCTTAACCAAGTTGATCTCTAAAGATATGCACTCATAAAGGTTTGTATTCTTATAGAATGAAGACCAGGGTATTAAGATATTTGGAGAACTCAGTCAACATTAATCAAGTCAATAGCTTTTAACTTTGATTATGTTTGATAGTGTTTACTGTTTACCAGTGATAGTTATGGGCTATGATGGATCCACATTAATTACTACTATTAAAATATATAACATATGATACATGTAGGGTATGACATGTTCAAAAGGTATTAATTTGATGTGTGGGGTATATTTATACTAGTATATAAAAGCTGATTGTGATTTTGCTTTTAAGCTATCCTCATCCTTGCTTTTTTGATTTAATTAAAATTAATATGCATGCTCTGTCTAATTTTGTACCACTTCAAATTCCGCTCTGCTCCACTCCATTTTTTTTTTTTTTTGTATGACTTCTTTTCTCCTGTCTTGGTTTCACATGGAACTTTTGAAAGAGTCGCTAAAAGGAGGTTCTTCGTCTTCTTCTCGGCTTCTTCTCTTGTCGGATTGAAAGTCATGAGGGAGCTCGGGCTTCGTGTAAAGAAGAGTTTTGAATGAGTCACGACTTCCACTCCTATCTCGGCGCCTTTGCATGAGCTTCATAGAGTCGCTAAAAGGAGCTTCTTCGGCGTCTTCTCCACCTCTTCGGATCCCGCTTCACTTGCTTAGTGCAAAGAAAGGTTTTGAAAGAGTTGTTAAGGAAACTTCTTTGCCATCTTCTTTGTCTCTTCAAACCCCGCTCACAATGTGTGCTTCACATGAAGAAGTGTTTTGGAAGAGTCGATAAAGAAGCTATTTTCATGTCAGACTAGAGGGAAATTATTGGGTCCGTACAGCATATGTCGTTCAGAGCCAATGAAAATGCGTCACATTACCTCCTATTTGGTACTGAGCTCGATACTGAGCAATACCTTTCTCGGTATCGAGTTCAGTACTGCTCGGTACTGGATAACGTGGCTGCATCTTATTGGTCTTTGGATGATAAGATGTGTACGCTATCCGGACCCAATAATTTTCTCAGATTGAAAGCCACGGTGGGAGTTTGCCCCGAAACACTAGGTTCGATGTTTTTTATTTCTTGTATCCGCTATTAATTGCTTTCTGGAGTCAAATTAGTTTGAGTAATTTAAAAGCATTGATCTGTAACGCAAATTAGATTATAATTATTAGAAACTTTTTTTTTAATTTTTTATAAGTTTTTTGTGTAGTTATAGGGTTTAGGAAATATATAACAAGGTTTGTTAAGTGTTTTAAATTAAAAGATACCTACTATTATGATTGCTACAAAAATATATTTTTTGCTCAAGAATGATAGCATTCATTATATTATGGTCTAATATGCTGTAGTTCTATCTTTGTTGCCAGATCTCTTGAAGATTGCAGTTCTAATTCTTTTAAATTGGAATAATTTTTTATTTGTTTTAGTTCGTTACACAAGAAGCAAATTTCTCAAAGTGTTTCGAGCTAATGCTGAGCTTTTATATATAAATACATGTGTGTTCATACTAGATTTATTTAATTTTCTATATAATCAAAATTTTCTTGCCAAAATTACTTAATCAAGTATTTAAATGTACGTGTTAGTATAAAAGGCTTTATCTCCAAGAAATTTGCTCAAAGAAAGAAATGAAAAAAAAATTATTCAAAATTGGATAAATAAGAATTAAATTTAACATTAGAAAAATGAGACAAAAATAAACAAATTTATAAAATCTAATCATCATTTTAATTAATTACTCTTTCTTGTGCTTTGACTGTGTTTTACATGCGCTTTTGGTGCGCTTGATTTAAAATTTTGCGGACATATATACATTCCACGTGTCAATATTTTATTGGTGTCCGGACGTATCTCTACGTCCATTGTCCGGAGCTAATAATTTCCCCATGCTACGAGGCCATGTCCGAAGTCATTTATTGCTTCCTACTTCGAAAAGATAAAGCTCTACAAATAAAGAGCAATTAAACAACTTAGTGGGCTACTTCTCTCTTTTTATGTATGGAAAAAAAAAATTCTTTTACTTATTCTAATAATATGTTTTCATTAAAGCTATTTAAATGGGGTGAGGACATTTGGTGATTTTATATCATTCATTTTCTATGATATTTAAAAGCATGGATCAACTTGCAGAATATTTTTGAATGAAATAGTGACAAAAGTTGGTGGTGCCTCAAGAGTCATAAGAGTTAGGAAGGGACTTGGGTGGTTCTGATTAGGGGTGTCAATTGGCAACCCGTCGGGTCAACCCGAACCCGACCCGTTTTTCAAACGGGTCGATTTCTGGAACCCGAACCCGACCTGTTTTGCATTCGGGTAGGGTCCAACCCGGATTTTTCGGGTCGGGCCCGGGTCGGGTTTTCGTGTCGTGTCAAATATTGACACCCCTAGTTCTGATCCTTCTAAATTTAAGAAAAATCTTATATAGTCATATATTTATTATCTCTCTATTTAATAATGATTTGCTCTCCGCTTTTCCCATTTTTTTCTATGGAGCGTTAAAGTAGAAGGGCTTTTAATTATGACCCTTTACTTGTTAAGATTCATTATATAAATTCTACTGGGTTTTATCCCTTTCAATTTAGGAACATGTTGCTCCTTGCTCCAAAATCTATTAATGTTGTTCATGGTAACTGGGATGTCCCCATTTTATTTTATGACCGGGATAATGTTATGATTATTTTATCCATTAAACTTAAGAGATTGAAACAAGTTTTGAAAGTTATTTTCAAGCATTTAAGTGGTGGAGAGAGGAAATCAAATATTTTCATGCTTTGGTTAATAAAAATACAAACTTCTTCAGTGAGAATAAATTAGTCTCGGGTGATTGGTGTGACAATCAAGAAATATTTCAGGATTCTCTTGACTGCTATTTCAAGGATTTTCTTCGGGGTGAATATTTAGTTGATGATATTTCATTTCCTCAAATCATCCCTAATCTTATCTCTTATGATAATAATGTCTCTTTATCTAATGTTCCCGAGGATCTTGAGATTTTTAACACTATTTTGGATATGAATTCTGATTTTGTGATTGGCCCTAATGGCTACACAGCCTTATTTTTTCAAAAATATTGGCACATTATAAAATCTATCAGTATGTGTGAAGCTATTAATTCTTTTTTCAATAATTACAATGTTCCCAAACATTTTTTAGCACTTCAATAATGTTGATTCCTAAGAAAAGCAACCCTAGATATTGAAAGGATTTCTGACCCATCAGTCTTTGTTCTACTTTTCATAAGATTATTTCTAAAATTTTAGCTAAAAGATTGTCTTCTATTCTTGTTAAAATTATTTCTCATAATCAGACTAGCTTTGGGTAAGGTAGAAATATTGTTGAAGATGTTCTATTAAACTAAGAGCTCATTCATGATATTCACATAAAAATCTTTGGTCATAATGTTATTTTAAAATTGGACATCACTAGAGCTTATGACAACATCAATTGTAAGTTCATCTTTAATATTTTTGGCTAATTTGGCTTTGACAAAAAAAGTTATTCCTCTTCTAAATAATATTATTGAGAATGTTTGATTGTTCATAATTATAAATGACACTTCTAATGGATATTTTAAAGCCTGTAACGCATTTGACAATGAAATCCTTTATCTTCTACCTTATATATTATTGCTACTAAATATTTATCCAGAGGTTTGTCGCATACTTTAATTACTTTAAAAGTTTTGCCTATAGAATTTCTATTGGTTATGATATTTCTCATCTTTCTTTTGCAGATGACATCATTTTATTTTGTAATGGGTCTTTAAGTAGTATCAAAAAGACTAAAAATATTCTTTGCTTATTTGAAAAAAAAAGTGGGTTTAATTTTAATATGGCTAAATGTACTTTCATTGTTGGAAAAGGCATGTCTATGGTGCAATGCAATAATGTATGCAGGATCACTGCTTTTAGTAAGCAGTCTCTTCCTTTTAACTATTTGGGAACTCCTATACACAAAGGTCATACAAAATATTATCTTTTTAATAAGATGTTTCTACTATCTCTAATAAATTTTTTTGCGTGAGAATTTAAATTTTTTTTCCATGGGTGTTAGACTTATTCTTATTAAAAGTGTGCTTTGTTTTATGCATATTTACTTAATTCAGACTATTAACCCTACTATGAAAGTTTGCAGCATATTAGAAAAAATTATTAATAGTTTTTTTTTTTTTTTTTGTTCTTCAAATTCTAAGAAAATTCATTAGTTTAATTGGGCCTCTTGCACTTGTCCTTTTAATGCACGGGGCCTGGATTGTAAATCAATTTCTGATTGGTCAAAGGTTTCTCTTATAAACTATGGTAGAAGTTTATAAATGATGAATACATGTGGGCCAAGTTTATTAATTTGAAATATTGTAATAACAAGCATCCATCTTTAAGTTATTTTAAAAATGGCTAATTTGTGGTTTGGAACATGTTGTGTAAAATTAAATGGTTGGGTGAAGCTAACCTCCAATAGGGATTACGAAATAGTTTTTCCCATTTTTGGGAGGATGATTGGATTGGAAAAGAGTTCCTTGACTCTCTTTTCAATACTCATTCTACCTCCTTATTGAATTAAAGGTTGTACCTTTTATTTCTAATGGTCAATTGAGTTTTAACTTGCTTTTGAATCATCTTCCTTATAATATTGTTGAGTATATTTATGATACTTCTCTTGATCCTTATGTTAATGATATTACTATTTTTTAACTCTCTCAAGATGGTGAATTCAATCTCAAAAAAGCTTGGCATAATTTTAGAAGTAAAAAAGATATTAGTACCATTTAAAAAAATTCTTCTATTCGCTTCTATTCTTACTTGGAGAATATTAAAAGGGTGCATTCCGATTGATTCCAGGCTGCTAAATAATGCCATTCAATTGGTGTCTAGATGCCAATGTTATTCTCAAATTGTGACTTTAAACCATGTCTTTCTGTTTAGTCCCTTGGAAATCATTATTTGTTATGATTTGGAGAATGGTTTAGACATTCATGTGCTTCAGAATAATGACAATTTTCTCTTTTTTGGCTACATGTTTTCTTAACAAAGCTAAAGAGCATCTCTACACTTTCATTCATTTGCTTGTTTTCTGGTCTATTTGGTAGTAAGGAAGTAATAGTAAACATTAAGGCATCAAAATGAGTCATGAGAGAATTATTATTTCCCTTAAAGCTAAAATTCAACATCTCTTTATGTCTTAGGTGTTGAAGCTCCATCATTTGGTAATAATAACATATTTCTTTATTACTTTAACATTAATAGCTACTTCTCTCATTCGAGCATGTGTTCTATTATCATCAAATGAATTAAACCTTTTTCTCATGAGTTCAAATTGAATATTGATGGGGCTATTAACAAGGATGGAGTGGATTATGGTGGTCTTATCATAGATCACCTTGGTAACTTTATTTTTGGTTTTGCTTCGAATACTTGCAAGGTAAATGCTATCTTTGTTGAAATATACGCTTTATATAAAGGATTACTCCTTTGCATTGATAATATAATCACAAAGGTTTGCATTGAGACCGGTTCTAGTTTACTTTGTCTTAAGTAAATGCCCATAAAATTCATCATGCTAATTTATTTTATTTGTTTAGCAAAGTTATGGTGTTACTGAATAGGGTGAATTTTAGATTTGCGCATATTTGGCATAAAGGCAATTGTTGTGCTGATAGGCTTGTGAAGTTTTGATATAAAATTGCTATTTTGCTCTATTTTGACAATAGCTCTACTCTTGTGTTGCTCAGAGTCATGATTAGAATGGATAGTATGAGAATTCCTTCTATTAGGTTTTGATGTCCTTCGGCTTTTGTTTATTCCTTGGCTACCTTTTGATTTTTCCTAGTGTTGATGGTGGTGACATCTAGTTTTCTTTGTTGTTTTTTTCCCACTATATTCCTTCTGTAGGGTTTTTGGGAGTTCGTTGATTTTCTTTTCTTCAAGTTGGTGGGATTGTTATGTTGTCGCTGCTGGTCTCTTTGCGGATGTCGGTGTTTGGGGCTTTTGGATTACTATTATATTTACGCGCTGAGTGTGTTCTTCTTTGGGGGTTTGTTTTTGTTGGTTTGTGCTTGAGCTATGTTGTGTTAGTGGGTTATTTTCTAGCAAGTTGGTTTTTTGTGTTTTTGGGGGCTCTTATGCCTCTCATATATGTTTAGTTTTGTTATCTTCTGGGGTCTTTAGGGTTGATGATTTGTTCCCTCTAGGCCTTGGTTGTGGTATTTTGGTCTAGGTTAATCGATTGATCTTTTTTCTGCCATTGATTTTTGCCTATGTCCTGGTGTGTTCTTCTACCCTTTGGCTTTCTTTGATCTTCCAGCCAGTGGTTGCATTGTTGATGATGGTTCCTACCGAGCTTTTGATTATTATGATCGCTGTCTCTTTTTTGTTATCTATATTTTATGTTTCAATGTTTTTCCTTTTTTTGTTTTTGCTTTCTTTGTTTTTAAACCTTTTATTTTTGGGTGATGACTTCTTGCCTCCGTAGAATTTTTCTAGGTTTTTATTCTATCTACTTAGATAGATGGGATCTTTGGCTCCTAGGATTTATTTTATTTTATTTTAGATCCCTTTTAAAGACTTGTAATTTATTTTATCCAAAACGGTCAAGTTAAACAGGAACTTCACACTCCTAACCAGCCTGAGGTTATAGATCGAACGTCCATGCATCCTTTCCTCTTCCATTAAAATTCACTCTCACCCCTTAATTCATCTAAAACTCTCCACCAAAATATATTTTAAGAACATGCAATTAGCAATCCTTCATTATTAATCCGATCATGCATTATAGCCTCGAACTAATATCTCCTCACCTGCGAGATCATATCGGAATTACCATCACGAATGTAACATGGGCCATAAAATTAAACCTGCTTTCATGTTTAGCTATTTGTCACACTGAAAGCAAGTACAACAGCCACCATTTTGTTTAGAGATCGAGGTGCACGTGTGATCCCTGCCGGAAATTTAAATTCTTCGGTGCTGAACGTGTGATCTTAGCCTACCTTAAATTTTATTAATTTTTGCTTATCATGCAAGCCTCGAGCTTCTACATATTCAAATTTTATCTGTTCCTCATTGCGAGGCTCTGTCAATTAGCATCTCATGGGAAAAATCCATATCAATCTGGGGAGTTTGAAGAAGAGAAAGAGGGGGGAGAGGATTTTCCAGTTCGAGTCATTTTGCAAGCCTGGTCACCCGGCCCAATTTGATGGCTCTTTTCAAGAGAATATCAGAGTTCTTCTAAGATTTGGACATCATGAAGTTATTGCGCAGGAGGGATTGAAATGCTGGTCTTTTCTTCTCGAGCTCAGTCACAGTTCTGCTAAGAAATTGAAGCTGTTCGTTGTGGAAGAAATTGTTGGGATCTCGCCGCATCGACAATGTCACTATTGTCGTTCTGTTGGTATTGCATGCAAACCAAGTATTTTACATTGGATAATTGCAAGTAATTGAATCATTTGGCATTGGATGAACTTTTGGCAAGATGGTAGCCCTGATTTTCTTAATCGGAGAGAAATATATCACTTGTGATTTTTTATTGCTTTTTAATATAAATTTTTTTATTTTTTACTAAAAAATTGCTTTAAGAAGCCATAAGAAAGCCGTCACAAACGAAGCCTTCATTTGGGATAGCTAGCTTTCTTACTGTTTCTTAAAACTATTTTTGAGTATAAAAAATTTAATTTTTGTATTATAAAGTTGCTTTAAGAAGCAGTAAAAAACCTATTCCAAATGAATCAGCTTTCTTATTGCTTTGTTTTTAAAAAATGATCATTATTTTTTCGTTGCTTTAAAAGCAAGGGTTAGAAAATTGCTTTTTCAACCGTTTTCCAAAAAGTTATTTTACACAACAACCTTATAAAACTGTAAGAAAGTTATCCAAAATAAAACCTTAATTGTTTGGAAGCAACTCACATACATGTTGGAAACCAAATTTGAAGACATAATAAAGAAAGTAGATTTAAGAATCTACCATTTACAAATTAATTTTACCAAACAAATTAATTGATATGATCAGAGCTAACTTTGCTTAGAATTTTATATGAAAAGCAAAGGCATATTATTTTATGTGAAAAACATATAATGAAAGCTGTTATGATCTTTGTTTTTGCATATTTTGGGGATCAAATTTCAGTCCCTATGAGATTAATTTTGCAGGTTGGGGAAATCATATGATCTGCAACAAGCGATTCCACTTTGTGTTGCCTTCAAAGGAATTAGCATTTGAAGAAGCAGAGAGCTTCATCATTGAGGTTAATGGCATAGACTCCCAAAATTCTACAATGAGTACAAAGCAACGAATGGAGATAGAAAATCATCTAATGCATGGCGTCCTGCACCTGAATGGATTCGGCCACTTGATCTGTATCAATGGCTTTGAAGGTGGTTCAGAGTTCGTTTCTGGACATCAAATCATGGACTTATGGGATCGAATATGCACCTCATTACAAGTAAGGTAAGAAAACGATAAAGATCTGATATTTTTATTTCTTACATCAATAAAAAATTGCTTATTCAGAAATTATATGAGCATCAACAAAACCGATTCTTGAGAGAGAAAAAGATCCATGGCTGCTTACTGAATTTGGGAGGAAGAAACAAGTTTTTTGGGGGTTTTTTTATGCCTTTATTCAGGGAAATTCTCTTGAAAAAAGGAAAACAAACCGTAAATATTTAAAAATCTCACCCTTTTACCCATGGACCGACCACCTTAAGGCCAGGAGGGCAATTGCCAAACACAATAAAAATCTTCTTTATCATATGATTCTTTAGGTAATTTATCTACGTTTATATATTTGTTAGTCTTTATTACAAGGTTTTTAGGCAATTGCTCTCCTTAAAAGTTTTAAAATACTATGATCTTCAGGAAATTGTCTCAACATAATTAAATACATTGTGTAGAGATATTATTGTTAGGGAACGATGAACCAAATCAAAGAGAATCCAAAAATACCTTACAACCAAAATTTGCTGACCCAGCGACCTAACCCCGCCAAGGGGTGCTGCCCTGTTGGACCCCCACATATCTGCGAAACATACAACGATGAACAAATAGGGGTCAACAGGCAGCGCCCTCGGAACAAATTTTGATTGTAAGGATATTTATGAAATAAAAAACTTTACACTTTTACATATAAATTTACCCCCTTTAAAAATTACGGCTTGATCCGCCCCTGCTTTTACCCAAACTTTTCTGCTAAAATTTACTACTGCTCTCACTAAGTTTGTAAGAATATAATGAGATGAATGTATGTGATCGCTTGGGCAGGCAGATCAGCTTAATAGATGTGGCGACGAAGGGAGGAATGGAACTGAGAATAATTAACGGGCTAGCTTACGGCGAGCCCTGGTTCGAGCGTTGGGGCTACAAATTTGGCCATGGAAGCTATGGAATCACTGAACAAATGTACCAAAGGTCCCTCCAAGCTCTCAGAGCCTTTCCGCTCGCTCTGCTACTTCCTCCTCTCTACCACACCATTTTCGATGTTGATATTTTGACGATCACCACCAAGTATCAATCAACAACCAGTGAAGTCTTGAAAAGCTTGGGCGATCTCTTCCACTGCATGATGGAGCTGAAGGCCAAACTTTCTCATGAGATCTCTCCCACAACCACAGCAATGGAGTTTCATTCGATTATGAAGGTGGCTTCGTGTCGTTGGTCGGTGAAGCGGGTGGAGATGGCGGCTCAAGTGATTGTTCAAGAGCTCAGGAGGTCGGAAAACCGCTGGGTCAGTAGACAGGAGGTCAGGGATGCCGCAAGGGCCTATATTGGTGACACTGGCTTACTGGATTACGTGCTCAAGCATTTGGGGAATCACATTATAGGTAAACTCAATTATGTTTTACCTAAAGTACAAGAAAAAAAAATTAAAATTGCATGACTCACTTTGATATTTTGGTTAAAATTTTTGGCTATCAATTAAGAATTTTTTTAAGTTTAAATTTTACATATATGATATTGTTGACCCCTATACCTCAAACCACGCGATAAAGAACACCAATTGGTGAATAAAACATTACGCGCCTTAGCGCCACATGTCACTTAAAGAATCAAATGACCTCCGAATGCTAAACGGACGACATCGTTTTGATCAGGACATCGAACTCAGCTGGGTCGAGGCCCCTCGCAATTGAATCGGATGAGATCGGTCAAAAGGGTCGACCGACACCCGAAATTAAAGCACGAGGCTGATCAAAGGATGTCGGATCAATAAACGGACTTCATCATTGTGTTCAGAACATTGCAAATACTCAAAAAAACTGTATTTTACTTGTTCAATTTGGATCATCCTAATGAGTGACATGAATTTTGAGACAACACGCATTTCAAGGAAATCAGGCCTCGAAGACGCACGGATGACATCCGATCGATAAACGGACAGCTCCATTACGTCCGGAACATCATCGACATTCAGAAAATATACTTTATTTGATAAATTTGGATCATCTGAGATGGTGGTGGATTTTTATGTGATGCAAATATGATATAAAGACCTGCGTTACGACGGAAACAAGGCCTTGAAGATGCTCGGACGACATCCGATCGACAAGAGGACAGCGCCATTGCGTCCGGAATGTCGTTGACATTCAGAAAATATATTTTATTTAATGAATTTGGATCATCCGAGTTGGTGGCGAATTTCTACGGAAACGAGGTCTCGAAGACACTCGGACGACGTCCTATCGACAAACGGACAATGCCATTGCGTCCGGAACATCGTATCCATTAAGAATCTATATTTTATACGATCAAATTGGATTGTTTGAGGTGGTGTCGCAAATTTCAAAGGTGATCCAAATTTGATGCGAATGCACGCACTACGAGGGAAATTAGCCTCGTCGGTGACGAAACGACGTTGGATCGACAAACGGATAGTGCCATTGCGTCCGGAACGTCGTCGGCATTGAGAATCTACATTTTATTTGATCAAATTGGATCATTTTAAGTGGTGTCGCAAGTTTCGAAAGCGATTCAAATATGATGTGAAGGTGCGCATTACGAGAGAAATTAGCCTCATCGGTGGCAAAATAACGTCTGATCACAAAACGGACAGTGCCATTATGTCCGAAACATCGTTGACATTAAGAAAATATATTTTTTATCAACTTGGATTGTTCGAGGTGGTGGCACAAATTTCGAAATTATTCAAATGCGAAAATACGTATTTCAATAAAGATCAAGCCTCGACGATGTTTAGACAATGTCCGATCGTGAAATGGACTACGTCATTGTGACCGGGACATCGGCAATACCCTAAATGCACTATCAATTTATCCAATTTTGACTATTCGGCGAACTCGACACATGTTACGAGGAGAAAATACACGAAAATCGAGAAAAGTAAGCCTATTAAGGCATTTTCAACCAATTGCCTCATTTCTGCTATTTTAGATCTCACTGAGAGTGATAATTAATGGCCATTTCTATATTAAGATATTTAGAAAAAGAAATCACAGGTTAAAGAAATTTTATGGAGCTATTTTCATGCAAAATCAAATCTAAATTGATGTATTATCTTGGCTCTTTCAAACCTCGTATCTCTTCAAATATCTCTGCTCTGAGCTCCCGAAATTCCGCTGATTTGGCCATTAAATCCCGTGAATCCCTCGCCTCAGACATCGCTTCAGGATCGAATAGGGACAAGGCATCGTTGTTAAAACAGAAGAGAACTGGTCTCCTCCGTCTCTCTTCGAGAGAAGAAACTCCAATTGCAGCCATTTGAAGCCTCCAAGCCAATATGGGCTGAGCTTCACGCCTACATCCAAATCTGCATGCAAGATCTCTCCACGCCAAGATCTCTCTCTGTCCATGTGAAGCCCAAGTGGTATTGACCCTTCTCTCCACTACCTAACCCTTCATGATAAGGCTCCAGCAGCTATCTCACCCGCCTCTTGCTGCCGAACCAGTCTCCTCCCCATTTTTCTTCACCTCACGTTGTACCACAACAGCAAAAGACACATTATCTCATGTCAGAGTCATGCAGTCAAAGCACCACTCTCACATGCAAGTTCAGGCATGACTTCTTCCCTCTTCTACTCTCATAAAGCCGAACAAATCCAAGCCAAACAGCAGTCGCGAATCTCCTATCACCTTCTCCACTACAAACCGTTTTATCGAGAGCTTCTTCATTTTATTAACTCTTCCTTTTGTCCTACACTCCCACCCGTGAGCTTATTTGCATGTTCAAAGGGAGAGAGGAAAAGCTGCTGTGAGATTCCTTTACCTTTATTAACTTCTGTAGTTAAATAAATTATTATCATTAATTGTTTACATTAATAATGATATTAAATGCATGTACTTATATTTTGCTTTAAGATATTCTTCCGAACTCCCTGTTTATGCACTTTGCTTGTGTCATTAGTGGTTGAATGAAGATCACCAACTCTTTAGATAAGCCTACCTCTTGCATGCTGCAGCTAACAAAGTTTCTCACCTCATATATCTATTATCCAAAAGACATTAATCCCTCCCTTCGTTTGCTGTACCACCCCACTATCTCATTTCACCCAAGGTTATCTTTCACATTCCCTCACAAAACTTCAAACAGCAAACTTTCATTTCAACCTTATCATTATTGTTTGCTTTTGATTTTCTTGTCATGTATGCATATTAATTAATGTTGCTATTTGGTGAAGTTAATGTTATGAGTATTTCTGTTAGTCAATATTGTTGGACATATATATGTGTACATGCATGTGTGTGCAAATGTAAAAAAGAGGGAGAGAGAGAAAAAAAGAGAGGTTTCAAAAAAAAAAAAAGAGAGGGAGAAAAGCTTGCAAAAAAAAAGAGAGAGAGAGAGTGATTTCTCCAAAAAAAAAAGAAAAGAGAAAAAAAAAGAAGAAAAGAGAAAATTTTGTCTTGATTTTATAACCCTTGTTTGCTCTCTTACCTCGACATGCGTGTCGAGTCGGTGGTCTGCCTATACACGCTTTTCTTAGCGTGGTGAGATAGGAGCTCGGTGCGATGCGTATGACAAAGCGGGGATACCCATAAGTACCCGCTTGCGGGGAAATAATTCTAGTACTCGGTGTCTTTTGGGAGTTCGTTGATTTTCTCGTTTTCTTCAAGTTGTGTGGATTTTATTGTTTGTCGCCCTCTGCTCTATGGTCTCTAATTGCGGATGCTCGGTGTTCTGGGGGTTTGGCTTCTTCTGGTATGTACTATTATATTTCTCCTCTCTCTTTCATGTTTCCGTCGGTGAAGATGTGCTATCTTCTCTCTGGGGGTTCTTTCTGCTATCTGTCTGTGTTCGTAGTGCTTAGTGCTTAACAGTTGTGTTCAGTGGGATTTTTCTACGTACCAAGTTCGTGATCTTTTTTTTGTGTTTTTGCGCGGTCTCTTACTGCTCATCTACCTTCTGCTGCTCATAGTTATCTGCAAAGTGTCCTCTGTGATCTTTCAGTATCTTCCTCTCCGTAGCTCTGCCCGGCTACGTTTCTTGCTTCTAGCTTCCTACTACGTTATACTACTCTTAGGCTAGTTTCGTTCTCTCTATAAGATTACTTAATGTTGCTCTTCGGCTAGCTTTCTCTCTATTCTTGTTCCTAGCTCGGTCTTTCTTTTCTAGCCCTCTGTCTTCTTTCCCTAGCCTCTGGTCTCTTTCGTCATCATATATTACTCTTCTGTCTCTTCTCTCTCATTCTTTTCTTTCTCTCTCTACTTTATAACGTCAACTTTTTTAATGTTTTAGAATGCTTATGGTTTTCCTTCTCGGGGTCTTCTAGCGGTTGAGTGTAGTCATATGTTCCCTCTCTTTCATGGTCCCTTAGGTCTTGGGGGCTATATCTTGATGCTCTTACTGAGCTTTAATTCAATTGGTCTTGTTCACTTTCTGGCATGTATCGTGCATTTATTAGGTGCTTACTATTGTGCTCGTCAATTTATCTTCTACTATTAGGTTTCTTGTCTTCTTTCTGGCGTCTACTAGAGTGAGTCTCACTTGGTTTTTTGTCATTGCTATTCTGATCTAGTTGCTCTCTAGTGGGGCTGTGATTTCGTTAATCCTCTTTTTCCTTTCTGTTCTCCTTGTTGGTTACGTAGATGTGGTCCTCTTTTTGCTAATAAGTCTGGCGTGTTCTTTAGGGACCTGCTCTGGCTTTCTTTGATCTTCCATATGCCAAGTGTGCATTGTCTGTTGATTGTATGGTCTACAGTTGCTTTTGTTATTTATGATCCGCTGTTCTTTTTGTGCTCCTATTAATATTAATCTAGTGTTTCATGTTGATTTTTCCTTTTTTGTTTTTGCTTTCTTTTGTTATTAAACGCTTATTATTTTTGGTGATCGGCGGTTTTTCTTGCTTATTCGTTGGAATTTCCTTAGGTAATTTTTATTCGCATCTATGTTAGATAGATGGGGATCTTTAGTCCTAGATTTATTTTATTTTTTTTATTGTACCTCTCTTGTTTGAGCGTAGCGAGCATTAGATCCTTTAAAGCATTATATATTTTTTATTTTATCCAAACGGGCAAGTTAAACAGGACTTAAATCACTCGGTGGACAGGCGGAGTTCTTTTTCTTTTGGCTGCTGAGGTTATGATCGAACGTCTCCATGCATCTTTCTTCTTCCATTTAAATATTCACTTCACACTTAATTCTATCCTGATAAAGTCTCCACCAAGAGAATGATATTTCTTAAAGAGACATGCAATTAGCAATTCCTTCATTATTAATCCGATCATGCATTTGTTTTCCTCTCGAACTAATACATCTTTCTTCATCCTGTCGCGATATATCGGAATTACCTATTAGTATATGTAACATGGTTTTGCCGATGAAATTAAAATTCTGGGGCTTTCATGTTTAGTGTATTTTGTTCACAAGTTCTGAATAGCAAGATACATAAAGCCATCCTGAGGTTCTGTTAGAGATCGAGGTTGCATTGGCGTGTTTGATGCCTGCCAGCGAAATTTAAATTCTTCGGGTGTAGAAAGTGGGTTGTCTTTTAGCGTTTTAATTTTAAATTTTATTAATTATATGCTTTATGCATAGCAAAGCCTCGGCTTTAATATTCAAATTTTATCTGTTTCTCATTGCGAGGCTCTGTCAATTAGCATCTCTGGGAAAGAATCCATATTTCATATCTGGGGGAGTTTGAAGAGAGAAAGAGGGTGGGGAGAGGTATTTCTTAGTTCGATTCATTTGTGCAGAGACCTGGTAACGTGTCCCGGAGCCCAATTTGAAGATGGTAATATCTATCAAGAAGATATATCAGAGTTCTTTCTGAAGATTTGGATCAATATGAAATTATTTGCGCAGGAGGGGATTGTAAATTGGTCCTTTGTCTTCTCGAGTCAAGTCCTGAGTATATGGCTTAAGAAATTGAACAGATCTTGTTCGTTGATGGAATGAAATGTTTGCTAGGGTTGGACCGCTCCTGCAATCGTACTAGTGTCTTACTTTTGTGTTTTCTGTTTTGTATTTTTTGCATGCTTATTACATAGTATTTGGTTATCATTGGAATAGTTTAGCAGTTAATGAATTATTTGTGTGTTCATTTGGAATGAACTTTTTCTGCAAAGATGTGATACGCTGAATTTTTTTGCTAATTCGGATTGAGCTCAATATTTTATCTTTGCGTTGGTGATAGGATATTAGCTTGTCAAATAACAGTTTGGGTAGGCTTCGGTCTACATTTTGGATCGTGCTGCTTTTTTTTGCTGTCTTTATAAAAAAGAAGGTCTGTATATATTTTTTATAAAAAAATGCTTTAAGCAAGCTATATCTTCAGCAAAGCTTCCAACGAACCCTTCATTTGGGAATTAGGGCTTAGTTTCTTATCTGGTTTTAAACTATTTTTGAAGTTAAATAAAATATTAATATTGTATTGAAAAGCTGCTTTAAGAAGCATAATAAACCTATTCCAAATAAAGCTAAGGCTTCTTTGAATCAGCTTTCTTACTGGCCTTGAATTTTTAAAATATCATGTAATTTTTTATCGTATTGCATGTACTAAAAGAAAATGGTTTTGAAAATTACTTTATTATTACAACCGTTTATCAATAAGTTTTATGTTTTTAAAAGCTTATAAACATAAGAAAGTTATCAAAATAAAACCTCAATTGTTTGGAAGCACTTCACCATAGATATGTGGGTGGAGAATCAATTGAAGACATAATATGAGAAGTAGATTTAAGATCTAACATTTACAAAGGATTAATTTATAATAAACATATTAATTGATATGATCAGAGCTAATTTAAGCTAGAATTTAATATGACACAAAGGATATAATATTTTATTGAAACATATAATGGATACTGTTATGATTCTTTGTTTTTTGCATTTTTGGTGGAGTTTAAGATTTCTGCTCCTATGAGATTAATTTTCGCAGGTTGGGGAAATCATATGATCCTGCAACAGCGATTTCCATTGTTGTTAGGAATCTTCTAGGATATAGCATTTGTAGGAGAGCAAGGAGTTCTTCATCATTGAGGGTTAATGGTATTCTGACATAAAATTCTAACAGATGTAGTACAATGCATAACGAGATGGAATAGAAAATCAATCTATGCTGGCGTCCTTGTCACCTGGAATTGGTTGGCACTTGATCTATATCAAGGTTGAAGGTGGATTCAGAGTTTCTGTTTTGAGACAATCAAATCATGGACTTATGGGGATTGAATAGTGCACCTCATTACAGTAAGAAAGGTAGAAAAAGATAAAAAGCTGGCTAATATTATTATTTTTCTTACTAATTTAAAAAAATTTCTTATTCAAAATATATATGAGTCATACAAACAATACCGATTCTTGAGAGAAGAATAATAGATCCATGGCTGTTAACTGAATATGGGCAGAGACAGAAACAAGATTATTTTGGGCTTTATATTTTTTTGGCATTTATTCAGGGAAATTCTCTTGAAAAAAGGACCAAACTTTGTAGAATATATAAAAATCTCACCCTTATTACACTGGTAGTTCGACCTGTGTTTGGAAGTGCGAGGAGGGAAATTGCCATTCAAAATCATAATAATTAAATGTTTCTTTATCATTATGATATCTTTTGTTAATTTATCTTCCGTTATTTATATTATGTTAGTCTATTATAATTACAGAGGTTGTTAGGGCTAATTGCTACTCGCTTAAAAAGTTTAAATACTATGATTACATTCAGGAAAATGTGATCATCAAACATAATTAAAATATTACATGGTGTGTAAGAGGGGGATATGTATTGTTAGGTTGAAAGATGAACCAAATTCAAAGAGAATAAAATGAAACTTACAAAAAAATTGCTGACCCATTTGCGAACCTAATCCCGCAAGGGGTGCTGCCGTATGTGAACCATCATATTGCGAAACATACATAGGATACAAAGATGAGGGGTAACATGAAGCGCTCCTCGAAACAAATTTATGTATTGGATATTTTATTAGAAGGTAAAATAACTCTAAACTTTTTAACTTTAAATTTAGGCCATTTAAAAATTACGGCTTGATCCGCCCCTGCTTTTACTGCAAATTCTTTGCTTTTAATTACTACTGAGGCTCTCCTAATGTTGTAAGTAATAAATGAGATTGAATTGTATGTGATTGGCGCCTTGGCAGGCAAGGTTTGAAGCTTTAATGAAGATGTGGGAGAAGGGAGAATGGAAAAGAGAATATTAACGGCTAAGCTTTACGGCGAGCCTGGTCTACGAGCGGTTGGGGCTACAAAGTTGGCACAATGGAAGCTATGTGAATCACGACAAAATAATGTACAAAGGTGCCCTCCAAGCTCTCGTAGCTCCGTGCCAGCTATTCTACTCTATACATACACATTTTAGATGCTGATTATTTTTGATGAATTGGCCACAACAAGTTAATCAACACCAGTAAACTTGAAAAGCTGGGTGATCTCTTCCACTGCTGATGGAGCTGAAGCCAATTTTCTAGAGATATCTCCCACAAAACCACAGCAATGGGAGTTTTACATTCGATTATGATGAAGGTGGCTTTTCGTGTCGTTTGGTACGGGTGAAGCGGGTGGAGATGGCAGGCGTCAAGTGATTTTGTTTCATGATTGTCTCAGTTGTAGAAGGTCGGAAAACGCGTGGGTCTAGGTAAGACAGGGAGGTATGGAGATGTATTGGTGACTTCTGGCGTTGGTACTGTTACGTGTCATGCATTTGGTGGAATCACAGTTATAACACGGATAAACTCCCATATAGGGGTTTTTTACTGTTCAAGTATAGCACAACAGATGTTATTAAAATTAAAATGCATGAATTCTTTTGATATTTATGGTTATTTTTGGCTTCAATTAAGAATTTTTTTTTTTTTTTAAGTTTATTTGATATTAAATTTTCTAACGGGTTTGATTTATTGTGTGTGGAATTATATTTTTAATAGGCCTTGAAAAGTAAAAAAAAATCTAAGGGATCTACATTTATATATAATTAAGCGTCAATTGAAAGCTTTATTTGGGAGTGGGGTAATGTCACATGGATTGATAATTTATTATATAATATGATTAATGGGGTATCATTTCGAATTCACAATTATTGGGTTTGGGTTAATCCAGGTTAGACCAACATTATTCGGGTCAACTCAAACGGATTACATATTTTGACAAAAGGGATTGTTTTTTTTCTGACTGAACCGCTCGACACTGCTTACGGCGTTCAAGGTCAAACAGACCCGACCAGCTTGGTTCGGACGGTCAGGATTTCAGGTCAGCATAACAGTAGGAATGGCGGCGGTGAGTCAGTAGACAGCTAGGCATAGAAAGGCGATGCGACACTTGGATCGTAGCAATAGGCGACGGCGTGACAGACAATTGGAACGTGGCAGAGGTTGACTATGTGAACGGTAAGGTTCGATCGAGTAGAATGGGAGATGGCAGAAGTCGGACAAGTAATGGGTCATCTCGATCAATTTTTCAGAGTATTTCCATGTCTCAACGTGCCGAACAGACAACGATTTTAAAACAAAGTCGAATATGCCTAAACGACTGGTGCCCGATCAGATTTGGGGTTTGGTGACCCAAAGTTGAAATTTTTCAGAGTCGGAAAGCTCCGTGATGAATCATATACTTTCTGGTCCATTGAGGTTAAATATTGCAATGTGATTGCTTTAAACCTTAGTGTCATGAAGAAGTTTTTTGCTAATGTGTATATATATTAATTGTGAAATTATTTATATATTAGTAGGTTAAATAATAAAAATAGAGAATTACTATAAAATAATAACTAAGATTTAATGACTATGAAATTGTATGAAAGTATAGATTCATTCTCATAACGGTCCCAAGACTCATTGATGGAGAAAGATAATAGAGCTGGGAAGGATTTATGCCAAAAATAATTACAGACTGTGGAATAGGGTAAAAATGTATATTCAAATCTATAAGGGAGGCGTAGTTGAAAAGACTAGGTAAGTACGCAAGCTATCTCCTCTGCTATATATTTCTTTGCAATGAAAGAATTGACGAGAAGTGTCTACTGAGATTTATGACCTTCAAGAAGCAGAAATTTCGATATCAGGTGGGCACATCATGCTATTGATATCTTCCTCTTAGGTCAGAGATTTTGATTTTTGATTGTTTGGATCGTGATATATTAATAAAGGAATAAAATCTGTTAATTCGATATGATAAGAAGTTGTAATTAAGAGGATATAATATAATAAATCGATAATTTATTTTAAATCAAAGGAAGAAAAAAATAGCTTGTGAGTTCACTATCAATAGTAAAAAAAAATAGAACTTGCACGAATATTATGATGATAAAAAAAATATGACTGAGATTATTTCTCAGAGATGTGGCAAGTCGTAAATTGGGGGTTCAATAATGAATGGCAGCCCGAAATCCGTTATCGTCGTAATTCCAATTCATTAATAATTTATGGTTTGTTGTATGGAACCGAAGCGCAAAACGGTCTGGGTTCGGAGTTCTTACAATTCAATCGTTTCAATTAATATCTTGAGTTGGGTTTGTTGTTGATTATGTTTCTGATTATGACCCAAAAAGTTTGACCATTTTTTTTTGTGAGCCACCTTTGTGTTCTGTTTTTGTTTTTTTTTGAGTGACGTAGCGAGTCGTGGAGTAGGTATGTTGTTATTGTCTGTTTTGGAAACCCTTTTTCTTTGACTGGCAACTGAGATTGACCCATTTTAGACCGAAAGAGGAGATTGAACGGGGGAGTTGTTTTGTGTTGCCCAAAAGACGGGCGTTTTTTCTTTTGGGTTGTGTCACCTCGTAGGGCATTCGATTCATGGTCGAAGTCGGTGTATGGTACACGGACCTGAAACGGGTCGGCTCATGAAATCCGACTTTTGTGGTGTCAAATGGATGGGTTTGGTTGATTATTCGCTGCGAGAAGTATGCGATTCTATTTCGTGTATGATTATTCTGTCTTTTTTTGTTACGGGACGAAAGTCGGCGCCAGTGGACATTGAATAGTGAGACCCCTATAATATGAATAATGATGTTTTATTTGTTATAGCAGACGGTCTTTAAAAATATTTAATCCTTTCATTAATATTATATTATGGTATATATTTGTTTTTTTTTATATACTTTACGATAATACTAGTTATTGTATATTATTAGTTATTGTTATATTTATAATAATATTTTATGATCATATATCTATACATTATTATTATTTGATAGTTTATTTGTA